ATATATATGTATATATATATATATATATATATATATATATATATATATATGTGTGTGTGTGTGTGTGTGTATGTATCCTTTCAAGAAATTTTAAATCGTTTCTTGCATTATAATTCGCTTAATTTGCAAGATATAAAATGATCAAATATCATTTATAATTTTATATTCGTGAAAAAAGTTACATTAAAAAAAAATGATCTCGCATTTAATGGCAAAATGCTAACTGCGTTTTACATTCGTAGAAAGTATCGAACGAGTTCATCATCGTGCCAGTCATAAATACCACCGAGTTTACGATCTCTCCGAGAAGAAAAGAATTTGCAAAAGCACAAACGGTGTTTAACTCTCATCGCGGAGCTTTGAAGACGATGATTAGAACCTTTACGGATGGAAAAATCGAAAGAAAACAAGTGAAAGTTGGCGTAAAAATTACGCGGTGCGCACTTTGCGGATGCAAAAAAAAAAAAAAAAAAAGAAGAAGAACGCGATTTTACTCGATAACTAGAAACAAGATCATCGATTCATTCGCTTCGTTGGAGTGCAATTTTCCAGGAACGATTATACATACATTTCGGATTTATTTTATTAAGTTGATCGAAATAAAGGTATTCACTTTTTCTTTTTTTTCCCCTTTCTAAAAATTATTTATAATTAATTAATCTTTTTAAGGATTCTTTAAATAAGCAATAAAAATCAAGGATTGAATTAAAAATCAATGAAAGTGGCTCAAGGAAATTTTTCATTTTATCTTTACACCACTATTAAACTATTGACTACTGAACATATAGTAGAAGAAACACCTTGAAATTTTTTGATCTCTTGATGAAACTTGGAAATCATTGACCATATCACAGTATGGAACAGTATCTTTTTTCCTCCATTCTTTTATTTACACTCGATAATTAAAATTACGGTAAATAAACGCGATTACGTCGATCCAGGTAGCAGTGAACGGCGTACAAGTTTACCTTCGAAAAGTCAAGTTCACGCATAAGTGCGTAAGTGGCAATCCGCTGTCGAGGCTGGCAGAAAATTACGAGAAAACGCTTACTGACACTGCGAAATCTCTGTCTGCTTGTTTATTTATGAAATCAGTCCATGTCAAATTATAATATGGTATAATAGTAACCGATCCCGAGCAAATATATGTATATTTGAGAAAAGAGGAAAATTGCACATGTGATTTGTTCGTTGCACAAATTGGAATGATAATAACAGTTGTTTAATACTGTTATGTTGTAAAATTATGTAAAATATTCTTAACCAGTTGATGAATGCATTTTTTGTTAAGTTGTATGTAAGTAGAACAATTTAAGCAATATTTTGTATAATTTTGTATTTACGTTTATCTTATTTATTTATTTTTATATTTATATTTATTTATTTATTTTATCCATTCCAAAAGAAAATCAATCGAAACTTTCGGATTAAACGAAGTTGAAAGATCGAAAAGATCTTCATGCTCCAATTTTTATGAACATCGTTGAGTGATTAAGCTTTAAATATCGCTTCATTGGCTGTTCAGGTCTGTTGGTTGAAGTCAAAGTGGTACGGTTTCCCTCGAGCAATCGAAACATCTTCTCGAAATTACTTAGAAAACTTGGGAAGTATCAATTAAAATATTCACAATTCAGTAAATTTTCCAACCGATGTGTCAAAAGTTTTGGATCTTCAAGAGGATTGCAAAGTATTTTTCGAAGGATTGTTATTATTTTTAATTAATTTAATTTCTTTTTTGCAGGAATTTGTTCATCCTTTAAAATTTCCCTCTACTTTTTCATTGGGAAAGAGTTCTAATATATTGCAATATTAAGGTAAAAAAAAAATTGAAAAACATTAATTTTTTTCTAATTTCCCTTATTTTATACGGAGATTGAAGCGTCGTAAATCATTCGAATATTAGTAAATAACAACTCGAAAAACACTGAAAAGAATTTTTACTGTACTTCAAATAAGGAAATGTCCATTAGTAAAACGATAAAATTCAATGTCATTATTATGCCATCGAATAAATATAAAATTTAATATTATTCCTCAAAATAAAAAAATAATTTTAATAATAATTCTAATAAGAATATTCATACACGGATCCTCATCGATCACGAATCAACCCAATATAATATACTCAACAGATACCAATAGATAGCTCATCAACGATCATTCAATAATATCTTAAATAATATCTTTTATCCAGTCAAAGATCACTGCACGATAGAACGGTAAAAGGATTGATGGGATCCTGGATTCGAAGCTACTTTCCAACAGGCATACTTTATATGCTTCATCGATTGAACTCAAACTTTACTTACATATACCACATATATCTTTTAGTTTATCATTTATGCTGATCGAATGGAAATTTGTATCGATTAAAGTGTACTTTGGAATTCTTTTTCATCTTATCGGTAAGTAAAAAAAGGGAAAAAAAAAAGATAAGAATTAACTGTTCTTTAATATTAGACACAAGATCGGTATTGGAATGTGCGTGTAATTTTTTCAGCTACAAAAATACTTTGAATAAGGTGGAGGGCAAACGTTGCGATCGTTCCACCGTGTCGGAATCACGTAGTTCTAATTCGACGCCATGACGACCCAGTTCTCGGATATTTTATGCCGTTTCTTTGGATTGTCGGTTACATCTCGTATCTCGTATGATTTGAATAAATATCCTTCACGTTTGATACGTGATAAAAATTATAAAAGCAGGTATTCGAACTTGGATTTATTATTATAAATAATTTTTTGTATCGTTTATGAAATTTTCTTAAATCGTTTGGATAATATTTAATATTTTTTTTTTCTTTTTAAGTTTCATTCATAGCTATTATTTTTGTTGTTATTGGACAAGACGAATTCACTTCGTCACAGATGATAACTGTTCGTGCAATAAAGTTCCATTAGATTAAAAGCGGTTGTTTTCTTTTAGAAAAATCTCTCTTAAATAACAAGGTAAAAAGAATCTTAAGCGATCATTAAGCGAGAAAATTAAAGTGATTGATTTTACTTTAGAAGAAGAAAAGAAAAAAAGAAAATACCTTAAATGTCATCGTTTTTGTTTTCTTTTTTTACTTTATTCATTTTCTTCCATTCTATTTTGCAATCATCGATTAAACAACTCTAAAATAAAATTTTAATCGTGACCGCTTGTTTGCTTTATCACGAATCACTTTACAGTCAAAAAATTTATATAATAATAAATAAATGTATGTACGGAGCGAAGGGTTGATCTCGAGAGATCGGAATGTTGAAGGAGGAAATAAATTCGAGGTGGGCCAGGAAGGACAGAACCTATGCGAGGAATGCGCGCCAGGTTGAGAAGGCCGCGGGCGTTGTTAGGAGGTAACAGGTTCAGACTTAACGGTGCAAAGCCCCCACTATCTTTGCCATTTCTTTTACTGTCTCCTCGGTCAAGGACACCCTGAATCAGGTCACTTGCCTCCCGAAATTTTGTACAGACGATTCGTACAACGCATATTCTCCTTGTGGAATTTCTTTTTCATTGAAAAAAACAAAAAAAAATTTTTTTCAAAAAGTATTAAACCGATTTTCTCAAAAGTATAACGCAACATTTGTAAATTTTGTTTGTTAAAAAATTCTAATTCTATCGTTTCTAATCTATTTAATTTGATTTTTAAATTTCAGAATTATCATTATTCTTGAAAGTAATTTAATTATTGTTTAATGTTAACAGTAAAATCTAATCTTATGGTTTGAATTTTTTTTTTTGCTTGAGAATTATTATTATGCTGCGAATGTATTCTATGCATCATAAATATCAATTCGTTATTTGATAAAATACTTAACAACAGGCGTGACCGGAAGTACGTATACAAGTTTCCTCGGAACGTGAAACTTTCTCTTAAGCCTACATCCGCAAACGTATTTGTCCTCCGATTACATACCAACACCTTTTCCAACAATTCTTTTGTCAGCACAATCTATCCACCTCGTGTCTTTTACATACAATATTCCTTTCTCATTTTCATTCTTCAATCTTCCGATACAACCTATTCATCTTCGAACGTGAGAAATTATAATACAAAAGAATATACACAAAAATCAAAAGATAAAAATTAAACGATATTTATTCTACTATTTAATATTGCTTCATCAAAATACTTGATAAATTAGCAATTAAAATTCACTTTATAAATTTTGTATTCACTTTCTATTTTGTATTCGAAAATTTCTTTGAAAAAATTTTATAATTAAAAACTTACCACAAAATGGCACTCCTTCCGGTGTCCAAGAGCCATCGACTTGGCATTGTCTTCGCGCTGGGCCGAGGAGCTCGAAGCCTCGTTCGCAGGAATATGTAGCCACGGTGCCCTCGAGCAGCACCGTGTCCTTTAGAAGGGCATCCTCCTCATCTATAACATCCTCGGCACTTGCACCCGTGAACCGGACGCTACTATGCGCTGGGGCCCCAGGGTAACCGCATCCGGCACCGTTGCAACCTGTAAACCGACAGAGACATCATCATTATCGAGTAACCGGTACCATTTATCAAGCTTTAACGCGCTAAACATCGGCATAACAACTAATAATAATAATGATCGTGTAGTTAGACAGTTTCAATCGTGTTCGAGCCCCGATCGATAATGTAGAATTATAAGAAAACCACGTTCTTGTTTAATTTTTATAAATGTGCTTGTAAACGATGATACTTCGATATATCGCTTCGATAATTATAGTAAACGTTGTTTATCCGCAGTTCGAAGTGATAAACGAGATTCTATTGCATGATCAATCGTTTAATTATGGTCGTAGAAAGACATAAGAAGACACAAGAAACTATATAATTGATTGAATAGCTTAAAATATTGGATCATTAAACAATGAATGGCTTGGATCGTTTCCGAACTAACCTTAGCTAATTCATGCTGCTGCTGACATATTTCAAAAATGATTTCTCTACTTTACTCGTTAATACTCGAAAAAAGAAGTCATTATATCGTATTATACGGAAAAAAACTAAAATAAAAGAAACTCTTATACGTTATATAAAAACATAATGAAAATCGACAAAACAAGCGAGCAGTGTCTTCGATCGATCGTTGATTCTAATTGCGTAAAGCGAACGGAAAGAGGGAAAACGCAAGGGGGGAAAAAGACTGAATCGGTGAGCTGGATGTCTATTCGTGTTCACGAAGGCGACGAGGCTGGCCATTGAAATCATCGAGTTGAAAACTCCAACGCTCGATGAGGCAACGTCCCGGTTTACAATGACTTTAATGCAGCTCGTGCGTGATGACGTGAGTTGCATGTCCTACCTGAGGCCAACGGCAACAACATTGTGAGCCACGGTGCATACCACGTACACCGATTACCAACCGAGCAATAAAACGTTGCATTATTCGTATAATTAGTCACGAAAGATCGAAGAATTGCATTATTTTTTAGAAAATGTTTCGAGATAAAGTTGGTATTTATTTTATAAATGAATATAAAAAAGAAATACATATAAAGGTATAAAATACACAATCTGAATATAAAATTTACTTGTGAAATCTGAAATTTGATTATTATTCAAACAAACATTAAAAATAACATAAAATCATACCGAATATAGAAATTGAATGATGAAAGATTCTTATCCAATTTTAATTATGAAATAAGAAATAGAAATTATATTAAGAATTTTTATAGAAATTAACGAAATAAATAATCAAAAAGTAGAAGAATAATATTCACTGTAATTCAATTTTTACATCTTTTCGTTCCCAATGATAATTCAAGCTTCATTTATTTAAAAAAAAAAAACAACTTTTTCCAAGTTTTTCTCACCTTCTGATTTTTATTACCAACAAAATAACTTCTAACTTCGTCCCACTCTACCCTACCAACAACCAGTACGAAACTATTTCGAGCGAGATTCTATCACGAGGGCATCACGAGCCGTTAAATCAATAATCTTTGGTAACTAGCTGCTCGCTGGTGGGTGTAGATAAGCAGAAGAAAACGCCACGGACCCGTGACGGAAACGATAATGCAAGCAGCTCACATCCTGCGGCTTTCGCGCAATCACCTAGGAAGTCATCGACTGTGCCGATGTTCTACGTATTTGCACGCTCGCCGAAGGAAGGAAGGGGAGGGCGAAGAAAACCTCGCGAAATTTCACCTCGTCCGACGTGTTTGCGTAACGCGACGATTTTTCCTCCCTCTCCTCTTCCTTCCATCATTTTTTGTCGTCCATCGCCGTTCTGGTCACTGAATCGAGAAGATCCAAAGCGTTTGCTTTCCAACGTCGACTTGCATTCCAAACACGGGGATTCCACGCGGAAATCGGAATCGATTTCTGCTCTCTTCAGAGATCCAGAGAGACGAATTAACGGAGTCGGATGTATTTATTAACTCAATTTAAACGCGCGATGGAATGGAATGGAATGGAATGGAATATATTTAGGTGAATGGAAAGTGGAGTGAATTAGACTTTAGAATTTCACTGGCTTCTTTTCTTGCCTTGAAATGTATTTTATACGCTCGAAAGAGATTAAATATTTGCATACGTTAATCTTTCGTATCTTTCGATCCGAATTAACGATATTCGTAATTACCTTTCGATCTCGAAAAATTTGCAAAAATTCCGAGATATCCAGAATCTGAATTGAAATAATCCTACTTTAGAATTAAAATTTCCAATTTTGAATTCTATTCGCTCTTAAAAATTTCTCGAAGAATTCATATTCGATGAGAGAACGTTGAAAGAAATAACTCTATTACAAAATCTGTAAATCGTGGTGGAGAGATTAGATTAGAAGGAAAGTGGTCTGAAATAGAATAGTATCGGTATTTAGGTTTATTGCAGGATGTCGATTATCGAAGGCGGAAAAGAAAAATGAGAGAAGATGAGATTTATACAGATAACGGCTTCTGCCAACTCCCGAGTAACAACGTGTTAACTGTA